AGCTTGTTAGGTTTGAAGAATTTTTTAAGTAAGTTTTGTAAGTAGGATTAACATTGGGCACAGAATGTTTAAAAAGGTAATGAACTCTGTAAAGAGCAATACAGTCTGTGACATCAATAGAACTACTGAAAGTTGGAGAGGAAACTCTACACTAGCATAATGCTGATATAGAAGAAAGTTTCAGCGATTTTCAACTCCCACACTACTCATTTGAATCACCATTAGCAAATCTAAATAGAAAATACTGCTAAAAAGCAAGAGTAGTAAAACCGCCTCAGCAAAAAGCAGAGCTAGAAGTTTGTTAAAAGCTCTTAAAAAGAAACATGATCCTTTATTTAGAACCTGACCACAGACTCCAATGCACAAGCACATCTGTTGACAAGTACATCAGATGATTGTTTATGGATGTTAAAAACATCTATTTGCAACTATAAAATTGTAATGGAAGGTGGCCATGGCAGGACTACTAGAAGAGTTTTCTGTCAGATAAAAAGCTCTCAGTATCTGAAGAAAAATGCATTTAATGCAATAACTATTTATTTTTCTGCCTTTAATGCCTCTTTTTTAGTTCTCCACATTTTAAAGAACCATCTGGCCCCTGAAATGTAATCTCCCTGCATTCCTGGGACAAATATATTCACTGTTTTAGGAAGGATGACTATTTATTTCACTAAAAATACTCCTTAGCCACAAGCTAAATCTCCTTTTATTTGGTCTGCACCTTCTCTCCCTCCTCACCCCAAAGCGTTACTTAAAGGACTGTAGGCAGTGTCTTCTTTCTTAAATTTTAACAATTCACTGGCACAGTAAACAGGTTTGCTGTTCCCTGACAGATGCTTTAGACTATATATACTCTACCTGGATATTAACATAGCTTGATCAGAGGCACTGAGAAGACACCCAAACAACTGCAGTCTGAAAGCTCCCACTGCAGAGCACAGAGGGTTCTGTAGGAATTGTTTCACAGAATCACAGGATGGTTGAGGTTGGAAGGGACCTCTAGAGATCATCTAGTCCAACCCCCCTGCTCCAGCAGGGACACCCAGAGCACGGGGCACAGGGTGGCATCCAGGCTGGTTTTGAAGATCTCCAGAGAAGGAGACTCCACAGCCTCTCTGGGCAGCCTGTTCCAGGGCCCTGTCACCCTCAAGATCAAGAAGTTTTTCCTCATGTTCATCTAGAACTTCCTGTACTCAGTTTGTGACCGTGGCCTCTTGACCAGCCAGTGGCCACCACTGACAACAGTCTGGCTCCATCATCTTGACACCTTCCTTTAAGGTATTTGTACAACAGGCACAGTTCCTATGTTGTCTTTAAGTTAATACAGGATATTCACAGAACAATTACGGTTTTATAGGCATAACTGATATTAATACAGAGCAAACCAGACAAACATGCCTTAATACAGACATATTTCCAACTAACTTTTAAGATAGTTTTCTCCTTAAAACACCTTTGTAAGAAAAAATAATGCAAAACCCCCCATGAGACTTTGTCTATTCAAAGAAATTAGACTTGGAAAAATGAATCACATTACCCTTAATACGATCTGATAGTCACTACGAAGAAAGCCCTGCTCCTTCCTCTTCCTCCTTCAGCCATTTGCTTCTGCCCCATCATATTTTGGTGTGTCTTGCAATCACGTGGTAAACCAGATCGGCAAGTTGATTAGATAGAAAAATAACCTAACATTAAGAGTGTCAGAGTACTGACCCAAGTTGCCATGTTGTCACTAAATCCAAAGGAAAAGGAAGGTGAGGGAGCAGGGAACCTCCCCCTTTGACAGCAGTCTACATTTTACAAGATGAAATGAGCACTAAACTGAACAGTAGCAAACCAGGAAGGGATGCCCAATGTCTGAAATATCGTGCCTGATCTAACCTCATAGCTGATGTGCACTAAACAAGAGTAGAGGCTTAAACTCCTTAAGAACTGCACTCCTAAGCAAAGTCTAACTCCTCTTCTTGCAGAATAAAAAAGTAAGCTATCAAGTTCAATGGAAAAAAAAATACTTCTAACATATCTGGATGTTAAAAGTCACACCACCTCTTTGAGGATTCCGCAGATTTCCGCACTATGGGTTTTCAGAAAGAGACTAGAACAGCAGTTCTAGATCTGCTAGTCTTTTTTTTTTTCCGTTTTTAATGAACCCTGTTTCCAAAGAGGCTTAGAAAATTGCTCCAAATGCAGAGTTTTGTCCTACAGTGGCTTTATCCTGCTTCACCAGTTTTCACTTAAGCAGGTAGGTGACTTTTCTAAACTGCTTCTGCAATTACTTGATTCTAAATAAAAGCTTACTTTAGAACGTGCCTCTTTAAAATGCTAAAATATATTCTGTATTTAAGAATTCTTAAAACACACAGATTGCTCAAGGATTTTTTTAAGTGAAGAAAATACTGAAATTTGGACCTATTTAGTGGTGTGAGAGTCATATTTCAGGAGACACGAACCATCTCCCCTACTTGACTACACAGCAAAGGATTTTCTTCAGCCGGAAGTAAGATTTCACCCCGTTTAAATGACATGCCTGAACGGAACTGCCAGAAGAGCAACGGCACTGCCAGAGCCGGGCGCAGGCTACGCGCCGCGCTGCCCACGGCCGCGCTAACGGCTCCGCGCGGCCGGTGACAGCTCCGCGCGCTCTGGAACCTTCGCCGGGGCCGGCGGAGCCGGGAGGGCACTGACGGCCCGACCCGCTTTCCGCGCCCCGGGCGGAA